GTACTCATGTACTTATGCATACTTTTAGCGCGTTCCGCAACGAATGACAACCGACTACGCGGTCCCCGTTGTAGTTTAACAGTTCGGTTTCATGGCTCTGATTAATACGTTTTGGCTGAAAACCGATCTAACTTTCACCGACAACACGAACAACAACGAAAAAAGAGAGAGAAATACCGTAATAAATGATATTAAAGATCATTAATCACGGACGGTGACCATCATCAGGGTAAACCCCATGGAATATGGTGTAGATGGATGCAGAATGAGCTACCAGATGGTTCCAATAACAAGTATTATAGGCTAAATGCCATACAGCACTTGATTTCCCTCCCTCACTCTCTCCCGCTCTCTCACTCCGCCACTCTCTTTTGGTCTCTTTTCAGCTCCGTACGATTCGGTGTTGGTCTGTCTTCTTTGTGTGTCGTAAAGGTTTGCCCAATTGAAAACTGGAGCAAAACGAAAAATGAGAAAATTCCATTTTGAAAGTGAAGCAGCTCTTCGACCCGAACAACAACAATCAAACAGGCAGAAAAAAATGTGCACACAACAAAAAACGAGCAAAAACGATTCAATTCGATAAATCATATTCGCGGAGCAGCGCGCACGCGCACAACGCTCAACTTGTCGACATGTTTAATTTATTTATTTATTATTTTTTTGGTGCGTTTTGTTTTTATTTCAACTCACAACTCTACGTTTGTTGACTTTTACCCGCAATTCAGGCAAAAAATGTTTCCCATCGTCGTCGTCGTTGTTTTTTCGTACTCTTATTTTCTGCGATGTGAGCTCTATAAAATTTCGGTTCGGTTAAGTTGTAGCACACACAAAATTGGAATATGACAAAGTTTGGGTTCGATTTCAATGCGCTCAAATGCGAAATGTAAACGCATCACGCGCTCACCGAAACTAGTGTACAGGAAATGTGCTGCCTTCCATTTGTTACACTTATTATGAAGAAAAAGCACAGCAACAACCATGAAGCGGCGAAAGAAGAAGAAGAAGTGCAGAAAAAATAGTGAGCACAGAGCACACACACAGAACTTACAAAACTGTTTCCATTAAGGCAAAAAGCGAACGCGTTTTATTATTACCTCATTATGGTGGATCTAGATTTTCTACAAGCTGCCTCAAAATGTACGACGACCTATATAGCATTTTTGCGCCACCAAACCGACGAGAAAAACGAACATTTCATAAAGAAACATTAGTAAGTCGTGCCGAAGGAATCAAAACCCGAACAGAAGCAGAAGCAGCACCCGAAACGAATAATCATCCAAAACGAAAAGCGAGTGAGCGAGCGAGCGCTCAAACTCTTGCCGCTAAACTGTGTACAACACCAAGTTCGCAGATTTTCGAACCAAAGAAATATATTGTGAATAGTTTTTTTGAGTCATGTCTTTTAACATACACTCACACTTACACACACACACACACACACAGCAAATTGCCATCGAAATTTCAATGGTGCTGCTGGTTGCTGGTAACGGCAATTATCGCAGGGTATATCACAATGGTGTGGCAACGATAGTGTGCTGTAATGACAAAATAAACAAAAAATAACATCCAACGAAACGAAACAAGAAAAAAAATCGAAATTGAGAAAAAAACGAACAAAAAAGTTGAGCACTGTTTCGTCGATATTCAAGTTATGTGTTGATTGCCCTTTTTGCAACAGCAGCAGCAGCAACCGAGAAAAAAGTTATTTTTTGCGGAATCGCAATTCATTCAGACATTTGACACACAACGAATGAATCGGCCCGTGCGCGTTCATTGCATTTTTCAATTTATTATGAATTTGACTGGCTCTGGCGCGAATAGAAAATGTATGCGCTTGTATTTATTTATTTTTTTGTGTGAGCTATTAGGAATTATGTGGAAATTCACACGGGCCACATATCTCATCTCATCGTTCCATCTCAATTTATTACAATTTTTCAAATTGCGTGCAGCGAATTTTTTTTTGCACATGGCAAAATTACACATTCAAATGAAGCAAGCAACCGGAGAGTTGGTTGAAAAGAAAGAGAGAAAAACAGAGAGAAAGAGGGGAGTACGAAAGAGTTTCCTGTCCGTTGTGTGCTTCCGCACATTTTTGGCACATTTATGTGCCTTCAAAATCCAAACCAACCAGCGAACGAAAGTAAAACGAACACGAAAAAAAAAATTGATGTTTAAATTGTGAAAACGTAATTACATAATAACCGTCTATTTATCGAAATGTGGGCCTCATTTTGTATGAACGCGCACACACACACACACATGCCGCCACCGCCGCTTGAAATCCCTACGTGTTCTGCATTGTTTTTCTCCCCCATTTTGTCTTCTCGTTAAGTTCTTTCGGTGTGACTATTTCGAACGTTGAAAAATCGCTTACGGATACAAATTAATAGACGCGCACGAAATTGGATAATTTAAAGTGGAAAGTTTTGCATATATATAGTTCGTGGCGAGTCGGTGTGGCTTCTAAGCTTCATTTAAATTGTTGCACGTGCATGAATCTGACACGTACACATTCAAAGCATATGAAAATCGAATGCACGATTATTTATGAAACCAACGCTAGATAACATCTTGATTGCAAATTGATACGCAATCCGCTTTTCTTTTACAGTAATTTTTTTTTTTTTTGGTAAAATTTACAGTGTTTCTGGTGAAAATTCAATTGATTGCAGAGAATACTTCGTTTAAAATCTTTGTTGCTTGCCTAAACGCAATCTTAATAGAAAAATAAGGGTTGTATCGAAGGATGTACTTACTTAATTGTAAACTGACACAATAAACTGCTTGAGACGTCATTTCTTCGACGTCGCATCAAATGCAACTCTATTTATACTGGATGTTTTGATTGATTGAATGCATGGCGTCCAATTTGTTGCAGCTTTGCTGGTTATTGTCGCTCTTTTTCGGTGTTTTTCTTTCTGTTGCTCGGTTCCGTCCTCTGTTAAAGGGAGACGAAAAAAGGGAATACATTAAATAACATTTATGCATTAGAGGAAAGAAACACATTTGTACAGCGTTCAAGGACATCCGAACGAATGAGAAAAGAATGAACGGGAGAATTATGAATCAACCTCGAGGTTAAATGAATGAAAAAAAAAGCGGAATTCCGAAGTAAAAGCGCCCAATTAAAAGCAATAAAGACCCGACAAAACAAAATTTGTCGACAAATGAAAATGGTTGTACACAAAATCATTCTGGCTCACGTTTATTCTTGTGTGTGTTTTTCTTTTCGTTCATCTTCTCTACAATGTCTTTGGCCATTTCACGAAAACGGACTGTGTGAGTAAGCATAATTCTTTTTGAAGTTTTATTCCATCTATAATATATCTTTTCTATGGTGTTTTCTGGCTCTCCTCTCTCTCGTGCTCTCTCCCGCTCATTCGCAACCAACATTATTGGCCTATTTGATTCGCTGCCATTGTGTTTGGCATGTTATAGAGACCGAAAGAGAGTAACATGCGCGTGCGCGCTCAACAAAATTCAAATATTTCTTTTATGTATCATTTTTGAATGACTCGATGAACGGTGTAGAGAAAGAGAGAGAGCAGCGTAACGTCGACCATTTCATATTCTTTGCAAAGATTCAACTTATATTTTCGGTTCGTCTGCATCCGGAAAATCTCCTGAAAAAAAAAAAAAACAACTGATAATTCGCACACTTCACAACATCCACCGAAGGTTTTCTTTTTCCGTGAATTTCGCTTTCATAAATTTTTCGGCCATTTTTTGCGCGCTCCGTCTCTCTCTCTCTCTCTTCTCCTTCGTTGCTGTTATTTGCTTTGCTCATTTAAGTAGAGAGAAAAATGTGTATTTTTACTAAAAGTACCATCACATAAATCAAAGTGTAAAAACATTTTGTCGAAATTATGCCTCATATTACACAGAACCGCCGAAGAAGAGCGTGTATTTTAAATGGGCTTCAGTGGCCATTTCAAAATAAAATGCTCATAGAATTATTTGCCGTCCATTTTATTCTCATTCTTTTTCCGACTTCTTTTTTTCTGCTTTCTCTTTATTTTTTCTCTATCGCTCACTCTCCCTTACTCTCGTCTTCGTCATCATCGTCGTCTCGAGAAGCCGCTTGTGTGTACGCGCCCATATAAACTAAAACGGTGTACGGGAATTTTTATTTCCACTTTTTCTCTCTCTCTCTGCTCTTCTTCTGTGTTTTGGCTGCGAAAAATCGGCACAAGATCATCATTCAAATGCACAACAATTTGTATAGACAACTGCGAACGATTTAAGTATGTGTTTGTTATGGGCTTTTGTAATCTTAAAATGCATTTGGCTGATGCTGATAGTGGCTGTGTATGAAACGCGAGCGAACGCGTACGCGCGCGCTTTCTGATCGTGTTCGAGTCGCTCTATACAAAATAGCAAGCGACAAGCGAGTGTTATTTGATGAGTGAAAGAAAGAAAGAAATAAGCGATGTGTAATCTATGTCGCGTGTAAGCGCAATATTTTGCTTATTATATCTCTCTTCGGCTCTATTCATGTGTGTTTTTGCATCGAACAAAAGAAGCTAATCTAGGCAGAGAAAGAGTGAGAAAAAAAGAAGAACGAGAGCGTTCAGCAAAATAGAAGGCTCACAGCACACACACACACTCACATATCTTTCAATGTTATATGGATAATTCTTGGTGTTGGGTTGTTTTGCTCACTCATTCACTCATTCTCTCGCACAAAAGAGGGCCAAAAACAGCGAAAAACTTTTTAATGTGTTCTCGAAAACTAGTTTCACCGTTGCTAATGGCCCATTCAAAATATGAAAAATGCACAACAACAACAACAACAACCGATATTTAACGAGAGAGAGAGAGAGAGAGAGGCAGACAAAAAGAGAACAAGCGAAGAGAAAAAATGGCATCGCAGAATAATAATGGCAAATTGGACATATCCTGTGCGAATAGTGAGCGTTAGCTGGGAGGGAGGGAAGAAATTAAGTATTTCAGCGATTGTATAAATATGCCAGAGATATAAATCGAGAGACGGATTTCATTGCATTCTTCCCCTCTGTCTGTCTCTTCCTGACTCTTGCTCTAACAATCAAGCAAAGGACAGAGAGAGACATATACACTTGGTGCACAGGGGCTACATCATTATGTGTGCAGTTTGTACTGTGTTTCCTTTTCCTTATTCCGTTGTGTCCATTTCTCTACATTGGTGTGTGAATGATGACGCTAATAGCGCGGCGTAGAGGCGATATCATGTTCATCGCCATCGAAAAAAAAAAAAATATCGTCGTTGTCGACATCGTCAATCGTTTGCCATTTCCATTGCCATCAACATGCCAGAGTGCCAAGACTCATCACATAGCTCTCGGTAACGCACTACTGAACACCCAATATCATTTGCTCTGTCTTTTCGCTTCTTTTTTTCCAAATCCATTTTGTGAGTCGAAACTCACTTTTTCCCCTATAGAAATCTAGGAATTTCCCTCGGTTTTATGTACAAGTACTGGCTATGGGGTATTTGGAGTATAATGGGACGATGGAGGACAAATGTATCATTGCAAAACGTCTTCATTAAATGAACGCTCATCTAGCATCCATCTAGCACTTTCCGCGTTCAATGGGTATAAACTGGTATAAACGTTAACAATATTACGTTTTCGCACAATTGCATGCACACATCCGAGCTACAGCTTCTCTCCTTCTTTCTCTCTATCTTACTCTAACTCACACTCTCTTTCATTCACTCACTCGCTCGCTCGCTCGCTCTCTTTATCGTGTTAATCTATCGCGTTCTGCCAACACAATGTCATGTTTCTGCTGAACTGGCTCTCACTCGGCCGATAGCACCACCAAATCACAGGCCAAGAATATACACGATTTTTTTTTGTCTGTACGCGCTTAAAACCGACGATTTTGATTTTCACATATATTTTTTTCTCTCTCTCCCTTTCGCTCGGTCTCTTCACAAACGTACATAAATATTGTTCGTCGCTTGTTTTAATGCCTTTTTCTCTAAGTTGCGCGCTCGCTGCAAATACGTGTGTGCGCTTTTTTTTTTATTTCATTCGTTCCCATTTCGTCCGTATTTTGTGTGAACATTTTTATCAATTTTCACCACGCGTTCGAATGTGTGTTTTTTTCCTCGCTCTCGCTCTCGTTCGGATGCAGCTCCCAACTCTGGGGAAATTGCTGGCGATTCTTCAAAAATGATGTTCAACACGAACACAGCAGAAAAACAGCAACAACAAGAAGGGCAGCAGCAACACCGAATTGGACAGTCAAGAGCGCAAATATATGAGAGAAAAAAAACGAGAGAGAGAGAGAGAGAGAGCAAGGCAGAGCAAAGCGAAAGAAGAAAATCAATTCGTTACAATGTATGAGCACTGTTCGGATTGCATTGCACATAATTTGTGTGCAAATGTGGAAAAGTTGCATTATTTATTATCGCACACATAAATTTTCGGTCGCTGCGACAGGTTTGTTCGCCGTAATGGGGTAATAAAATAATTGCAATCCAAATAGAATAGTAACAACAATAACGCGCGCGCGATGGACTCCGCACATGCACACACACACACACACAGAGAGAGAGAGAGAGAGAGAGAGAGAGAGAGAGAGAGAGAGAGAGAAAGAGACACATACCATAAAGTAGTAAACGACAATACGGATGAAGTGAAGCCATTCAGAAATGGCCATCAGATATTTATCTGAATTGTGTAAAGCGAAAAGAAAATGTATAACACAACGCGGCAAACGGGAATGGATGGACGAAAACGACAACGACAACGACAACGACAATGACGACGGTGACGACAGCACCATCAGGAGGGGCAAAGAGGAAGCGCGGCTGGAACAGAGAAAAAAGAAAAAGAAGAAGAAATAAAAGCACCAGAAAACGTAGTACTTTACCGAAAAACTGGATAGAATTGTGTGCCTTGGCTAATAGAGTCATTTCGTATGTATCATAGCCCATGCGAGTCGTGATTCTTCTCTTTTGCCGCCCGTTTCGCGACTTCAACATATGTGTGCTATTTTGTGTGCTCTGCCTATGCCACGGTGCTTTTTTCACCCCTTGTTTGAATGGTAAACATGCGAAGGTTACCGACGAGAGAGAGAGAGAGAGAGAGAGAGCAAGAAAAAAGAATTGCAAAGACCCGAAAATGACTGAAATTTTCACGATATGTGTCTAGAGGCGGCAATGGCGGTGATGGTGGCCGAGAAAATCCACACGCGCGCTCACCAAGAAAAATACACTTTGAACCATCGTTGTTGCGGCCGTCGCGATGTTCTCTTTTCTTTATACCATCGAGCAGCTATGCCATTCTTACTTCGTTTGGGCTTCTCGTTGCCCCCATTGTTGACATCGTTGTTCCGAAAAGTTTTTACTCTTAAACACATTGCACATAAAATCCGTGCACCGTGCATTTCGCCAGCCCTCCACCTCGCATCAACAAAGAATCCCTTCCTCTGCTTTTCGATTACTTTTATTCGCCGTCGTAAAGAAACAACAACATGTTTATTTATCGCCGTGGCGGCCGCGCTCTCTCTCTCTCTCTCTGATGTCTTCTTTAGTATGTTGCTCAGGAAGACTTATACGCTATCCGCCTTTGTTTATTTCAATTGCTTTAGGACAAGGCTATGCTGGCCATTTCAATATATATTCCAGCCATACAATTGGCACACCATTTGACATTTTTGTTGTTGTTGTTGTTTCTGTGGTGCTCTATCTTTCTCGTGGTGGCTTTTCATTTCGGGCATTACTTGTTGGCACTTCGAGTGTGCATACTTTTCCCGCCTTTTGTTTGCCGTTTTTTATGCAATCAATTTATGCAATCAACGTTTAATAAATAATTATTATGTTTTTTATTTCATTCTTTTCTGGTGAGCGAGAGAGAGAGAGAGAGAGAGATGGAGAAATGTACAGCATTTGAATCGGTCATAAAATGGATGCTTCAAGTTAAACATATGTGAACGTGATTTTCA